TTCTTCATGAATAACCATTCAAAATGTTATGAGGCATAGCTCCTTCATTTTTGGTTGCTTGGAAAACTTCTAGCTTAAGTCTTTTAACTATTTTCAAAATTAGTCTACTTTTTATTGTTGTTATAGTTCTTTATATGTTTTAGATAATCCTTATCAGAATATGATTTGCATGTTTCCTTCTATTCCATGGGGTGCTTTCCATCCTATTGACAGGGTTCCATAATCCTCAACAGCTGAGTTCTCATTTTTTGGTGGTTGGAACTCTGGGCCCTGTGCTTGTTCAGCTTAGTTACTTGGCTGGCACCTTACCACTTCATTCATTCAGCTTTTTACTGGTTATTTTGGAGATGGGGTCTCCCAGAGGGTTTTTTTTTTTTTTTTTGCTTAGATCTGTCTGAGTACCTAGAAGTACAGGTATGAGCCACTAGCACTTGAGCTAGAGCAGTTTTTGTGAAATTGAGCATCTGTCTGTCTGGCTATCTACTATCTATCTGTTGCCTGTGCTTTTGGTATCCTATTCAAGGAATCATAGCCAAACCTGAAGTCAGGACCCATCTGTGTAGATGTATCTCTGCAGCCTCTTTCCCATTGCCTTCACATCTGCACGCCAGCACCACACCATTTTATTACCCTAGCATGGTAGCAAGTTTTAAAACGAGGAAGTGTACGCCCTTCAACGTTGTTGTTCTTTTCAAGGTAGTACTTGATAGGCAGGGTATCTAGAGAGTCAGTATGAATTTGGGGGTGTTTTTCCCATTTCTGCGAAGCATGTTGGGAGGCTGCAGGGGAGTGGGTGGAAGCGGTAGGTGTTGGGGTTTACAGGGAGGCAATATCTGCTCTATGAATAGGAATTTCTTTCCACTTTTATCTTTCTTTCTGTGGTATTTCGCAACTTTTTAATATGTAAGGTTTTGCCTCGCTGGTCGTTGTGTTTCTAATTGTTTTACCGTTTGATGCGATTACACGTGAAATTGTTTCCTGAATTCCCCTTGCAGAGTCTCCATGTGAGGACACAGGAATGCAAATGACTTGTGTGCTTGCCGAGTTTACCCCTCACAGCCTTACTGTGTTCATCTGGAGGTGTCTGGTGAAACTGTCACTACACGACATAGGAAATAGTGTCATTTGAAGGAGACAATTTGATTGTCCTCACCTGGCTGGAAGTCCAGTGCTCTGTGTTACCCCGGGAGTGGTTACTGGCCACTGATTGGGTCGTCATTGCCTCCTGATGGTTGGTCCCTGGAGACAGTGAACCCCACAGCCCACACTCACAGTGGCTTGAACATGACTTGTATTCTGAGTGAAGCTTGAACATCATTGCTGCCATTTGTGTTTGTCTGATCATGGGTGAGATCAGAGTTTCACTGCCTTTATTGTGGCTTTCTGTGAATTGCTTATTTTTATCTTTTACTTGCTGGTTGGGCTATATTTTTCTTCTGGATTTGTAGGAATTAGTGCATATATATGTATATATGTATATGTATGTATATCTTTCATCTGGCTTATGTCACCGATACCTTCTGTAGCTTTCTTTTTATCTTTCGAGTTTATGATGCATTATTAACTTTTATGGAAGCACATGTATCAGTCTCTTCCTTTATGGCTTATGTTTGTTGGGATTTAAGGAAAGCCCTGTGCACTGTTCTTGCCATAAGCATTTTCATGGTATATTCTGTCGTCTTTATTTTATAAGGCTTGGAGGTTCAGGCAGAATTAGCTAACCTGAAGCAACTGTTTTAGAGCAGAAGCCAAGCCTATACTGGAGACATGGGCTGTGCGTTGCTCAGAGAGGGTGTGTCAAGGAATGCGGAAATGGGCAGTTAGGGAGATGGCGGCCAAGGACAAGCAGCCGAGGAGCTGCAGAACTCTGAGAAATGGTGAACAACAGGGTGTGTGGAAAACCTAACAGGAATGGCTGAGCGCTGGGGGAGAACCAAGTGGCGATGGCTGAGGGGCCTACAGAGGGCCAAGAAGCCACGGGTGTCAGCGACATCTGTGCCTGTCGTTTCTATGGGTCTATTTTCTCAAGGAAGAGAACAGCTTCCTGGGACATGCTCCAGTTCTGACTCATTTGCACATTTCTGGAACCAAGTGGATTTCCTGTCCACAGGACATCAAAGTCTGATGGAAGAAATTCTGCAATCTTCCCTTTCTTTGAAAGGACCAGTTTTACTGTGACCCCACCCTGGAGGAGGACCTGCCCCTGCCTCATTCCCTCCATCCTGGTCCTCCATGGGTCAAGGGAAGGTGCAACTTGAGCAGAGATGCCGGGCTTCATCTGGGAAACCCTGCTGAGGGGAGAGGCATTTGAAGTGTGCGTACAGCCCTGTGCTGCCCTGTCATTCCCTGTGGCAGGCGTTACTTTGTGGGTGTATAAAGCACCTTTCTTGAACTGTCAATCTGTAAATTGTCTGTAAAATCTCACCCAAGGGGTAAAGAAATGGAATTATTCATAAGACAGTTTGTACCTCTGTTCATGGTGAAATTACTCACTCAGGGTATAATTAGATATGCTGGCCCGACTGTGGACAAAGTTGGGAAGGAGAGTTTCTGTTCTAATTTGGGTGCTTACTGATGTGTTTGACAGGCATCTGGTGTGTTGATTCACGAATGAGGGAGAAGGCAAGGCCTGTGTAAAGGGGAGAGGTGTCTCTACCCCAAGGAGAATTAAACAAGCAGTCGGAAAAGTTTATCGCAGTGCAGTGGTACATTTCCTTTAATCCCAGCTACTCAGGAGGTGGAGATGGCCAACTGAGAAGTTAGAAGGCTCTAAAAAAAAAATTAAAAGCAAAAGGGTTGGGCCATGGCTCTGGTGATAAAAAGCTTGCCTAACAATTGTTAAGGCCTGGAATTCAAACTCTAGTACCATTTAAAAAAAAGTTCAAAGTTCTAAAAGAGGCTTCTGGAAGAGTGGCTGTGATCAGGTACTCTGTGTGTGTGTGTGTGTGTGTGTGTGTGTATACGCATGTGTGCATGCATGCATGTGCTTGTGCACACCAGGTGAGAGGGCGGAGGCCAGGCCATGTCCCCTCACGTGGACGCAAGGCCTTGGTTGCTGTCCCATCCACAGGGTGGGTGAGTTCACATTGGATCTGAGGAAATAAACATTGCAGTGTTGCAGACAAAGTAAAATTTATTGAGACAGACAGAAATGCACCTACTCAGGACTACAGGTAAGCATCGCTATCAACCAAAGAGCTGTTTTCACATTCCAGGTAAGTCTACATGGAAAAGCATTCAGAATACTAGTTTGTCTACGTCACTATTTCATCTACAAGTAGGGACAACAAAGCGACACTGGATTTGATGGCTCTCCTTACAAGGCTACACATGGAACAGGGACAAACATCAGTGGCTTTGAGAAAAAGGTATAAAAAGACCAAAAACCACCCACTGTAGAAAGGGCTCCTGGATGGTACTGTACAGTGCAGACTGGGGACGGCCAACCAAAACCAAATGAAGATGGCATCCTGGTAGAGCAGAGGGGCTGACCAGATGGGTGCCATTTCTGGCTGCCTTGTGTGAGGGGACGGGCATTCAGAGGGGTGAGCTGCAGGGGCAGCATGCCTCTGCCTTCGTATAACAAAAGGATGTCACCAAGGCAGACAACCAGCCAGGGACCACCCTTAGATTTGACTTGAATCCTGTAGTAATGATATTAGATAATAAGTGTTTATTGAATGAGAATAAAATATTCACTGAAGAGTTTCCACAAATGAGTTAGTGAAGCCAACCTTTTCGCAATATATCTCCCTCTCAACCAGTACGTATCTTACATGCACTTGCTCATTGTGAAGAAAGGGCCTTCAGCAAAGAGGAACCCAGCCCTTCTCCCAAGGATAAAGTCATTCAAAATCTCATTCTAAAGTCCCTCTGTTAAAGGACTCAAGATCGTGAAAAACCTAATGTGCCCTAATGGAATCAGACACAGAATGTGTTGGCTTTGCTCTGCTGATTCTAGTTCCAGCCTTTGGAGGCTCTGTATTTAATAGTTTAACGAATCAAAACACCTTGTTGGAATGTCTGGAAGTGGTACCTCCTCACCTTCCTGGGAGGTGCTGAGTGCTCTTCATCATTAAGTTAGGGGAAGTGCCAACTGAGTATTCCTCTTCGTCATTAAGTTAATACCTAGGATCTTCAAGTGTCATCTTAATTTGACACTTGTCGTAAGATAATTAGGCAAATTAAAAATCAGTGGTTCACTCTGTTCCTGGAAGTTTCTCGAAGCAAAATCAATTTGTCAATTTTAATGTGTTCTCGTGTGCATTTCCCCCAAGCGTGGCGGGGCTACCATGGCTTTCAGTGGTCTAAACTGAGTCTTTAAAAATGCATCTTTATTTCTTATGCGCTCTATTATAATTAGGCTGCAATTAAGCACCTGTTTTCTAAATTATGCTCTCGGAGGTTTGCTTGCTCGAGGGGGAAGGCGGCTGTGGAACGAGGGACAGCAGAGCTGAGAGTCTGCTCGTGGTGGCTGCGTGGAGATGGGAGTGGAGCGCTTGTTGGTGACACCTGGTCTTTCCGAGGCCGGTGTTCATCTGACACCCCGATTCCTCGGCCGCCACGCCAGTCATGGCTTTCTGCCTGCCTGGAGGTGGCGAGGTTGGGGGGAGGGCAGTGCGGCCTGCTGTGTCTTCCTGGGGCTCTTTGGGGGTGGGGGTGCCCTTGGTGCGGGAGCCCGGGACCCTGCGGGGGTCGGGGCTGGCTCCCACACGCAGTCGGGTGGCGCGCGTGCCCCGCCGCGGGGCGTGCCGCCGCCATGCTCTCGGGGCCACCGCCGGGGTTCTTGGCCGGAGAGGGTGATTTCAGGAGAGGAGACGAGACGACGACGGGAGCCCCCGGCGCGTGGTGCGGGTCCCGCGGGCGGGTTAAGGCGGCGGAGGAAGCCAGGGAGGGCGAGTGGACGTCAGCTGTGACCATCGCACCGGGCGGCGGGGCGGCGGGGCGGGGTGCCCTCTGTGCGGAGGAGCGCGGCCCGCCCGCGGTGGTGCGGCGCCCGGCTACCAGGCGTAGCCCGCCTCGTCCTCCTTGTCGTCGTCGCCGTCCTCGTCGTCCTCCCGCGCCGCGCGCGCCCGCGGCTCCCGCTCCGGCTCCAGCTCCTCGGCCGCCGCGCCGCTGCCCAGGCCGGACGTCTCCGGCTCCTCCTCTGCGGACCGCACCGCACCGCACCGCGCGGGGTCAGCCGGGCCGGCCCGCCCGGGACCCCCCACCCAGCCCGGGACCCCGGAACCCCCACCCGGGACCCAGCCGGAGACCCCGGGACCCCCGCCCGGGACCCAGCCGGAGACCCCGGGACCCCCGCCCGGGACCCCGGAACCCCCACCCGGGACCCAGCCGGAGACCCCGGGACCCCCGCCCGGGACCCCGGAGCCCGCCCGGGACCCCCACCCAGCCCGGGACCCCGCCCGGCCCCGCCCGTACTCACCGCAGGCCGCGGCGCCCTGCCTCCGGGAGCCCGCCAGCTCGTTGCCGTACCTGTCCACGCACCAGCACTGCCCCGTGCCGCCGTGGCACTGCGTGGCCCGGTAGTAGCCGTCCTCGGTGCAGCGCGGCACGAAGGCCCCTGCGGGACGGCGGCCGTCAGGGCTCGAGGCGGCCGGGTCCGGCCCTGAGGCCGCCGGGCCGGCTGCGCGCTGCCCGCAGCAGCTCAGTGCTCGGCCGGCACCGAGGGCTCGTGCGCACCTGGCACCGACGGAAACCACGCCCGAGCGAGTGAGCGAGCGTGCGTGCGTGCCCCTGCCTCTGAGACCACCGCCCCGGCCCAATGAAGGGGAAACTGAGGCGCGGAGAGAGGAAGGCCTCCGCCCAGGGCCGCGGCCCGCCCGCCCCCGCCGCGAGCTCCGCTCCGCACCGGCCCAGCCCGGCCCCGCCCCACGCCACGCCACGCGCCCTCCGTGTGGTCCTCAGGCCGCTCCTGGAGAGCACAGACCGCCACCGGCTGGCGGAAGCAGCAGAGCCGCCCGCGAGGCACGGCGCGGGGTGGCCGCGGCGGGGTCGGGCTCCGCGGGGTGGCCGCGGCCGCACTGGGCTCCGCGGGGTGGCCGCGGCGGGGTCGGGCTCCGCGGGGGGGTCGGGCTCCGCGGGGTGGCCGCCCTGGGCTCCGCGGGGTGGCCGCCCTGGGCTCCGCGGGGTGGCCGCCCTGGGCTCCGCGGGGTGGCCGCGGCCGCACTGGGCTCCGCGGGGTGGCCGCACTGGGCTCCGCGGGGTGGCCGCATTGGGCTCCGCGGGGTGGCCGCGGCCGCACTGGGCTCCGCGGGGTGGCCGCACTGGGCTCCGCGGGGTGGCCGCACTGGGCTCCGCGGGGTGGCCGCACTGGGCTCCGCGGGGTGGCCGCACTGGGCTCCGCGGGGTGGCCGCCCTGGGCTCCGCGGGGTGGCCGCGGCGGGGTCGGGCTCCGTGGGGTGGCCGCACTGGGCTCCGCGGGGTGGCCGCGTCTGCCAGCGTCCCGCCGTCCGCGCAGGATCTCAGGCCCGCGGCTCCGGTTTTGAACACGCGGCCCAGGCGCCGCGGCACAAGCCCGAAGGCCTCAGAAGGTTCCAGGCCCAGCTGTGGCCGCCGGGCGCCGGCGCTGGGAACGGACGCTGCTCAAAGCCGCAGCCGCAAACACCGGGCTGTCTGTCTGTCGGCAAACACCGGGCTGTCTGTCTGTCGGCAAACACCGGGTTGTCCGTCCACAAACACCTGGCTGTCTGTCTGTCGGCAAACACCGGGCTGGTCTGTCCACAAACACCGGGCTGTCTGTCTGTCGGCAAACACCGGGCTGTCTGTCTGTCCACAAACACCGGGTTGTCCGTCCACAAACACCTGGCTGTCTGTCCATCCCCAAACGCAGGGCTGTCTGTCCTCAAACACAGGGCTGCCTGTCTGTCCACAAACACCGGACTGTCCATCCGCAAACACCAGGCTATCTATTCGCAAACGCCGGCTGTCTGTCCTCGAACACCGGCTGTCCGTCTTCGGTCTGCTCTCAGCTCTGAACTCCAGTCACCTCCGGTGTGTGGAACTGTTTTCACAGTGCTGTGTTGAACACCGAGTGTGTGGGTTTCTTGAGCTCATCGAGTGTGGGTTTCTAAAGATCTGTTTGGCGCGAGGCTCCTCTCGGCTTAGCTCGGCACACAGGGTTTTCGTTTGGTTTGGAAGCTTCAAAGGGGATCGCTGCGTATTCCGTGGACTTTTCCACGGCAGATAATGCACATGTGCTTGAAAGACTATACGGTCAAGACTATGCGCAAATGTGGATGCAAATGAGTCAGTCAGTGCTTTAGCCTCTGTCTACTTGATCTGCACTGCTTTGCAGCTCAGTTCCACTTTTCTTTTAAAGTTATGATTACACCCACTGATGGCATGATTAGGGTAAAAGGCATATTTTGGCAAGGTGATACTATGGATTTTTATAATGCAAACACACTTGCTTTTGCCAGCAATTGAAACATTGCTATAAAAAAAGAGTATTTCCCATCATCTTTTAATCTCAGCTTTCCTTAGGATTGCTGTAGATGTAACTTTAAAATACCCACACACAGTTTGCGTGTCAGGGTAAGCAAGCGGTCTGTTCACTTACTGTGATTACATACAAATCGCTTAATTTTATTCCTGCATCCCTATCCACCTTTGCCATGCTACTCCTGTTCCGTTCTCTCCATGCCTTTCTTCTGTATGTTTTAAAACGATCCTCATCCTTTTATTTCTGATGTTCTTTCTCGTGGCTACCCTTCAAGAGCAGCATTGTTCTTCCTAATGAGTTCTAAAGAGAATCTGTTTTCTTCTTAATAAGCCCTATCTGCCATTGCCCTGAACAAGCTAGAATTTTAATTCCAACTTGCTATCAAAGCATGTCACCTCACACTCCCAATAATTCTTCCTGGGCTTGTGCCAGGGAGTGGACAGAACCTGCAGCAGCGTGGGACTATCTTTGTCACCGCACTTGATCTGCCTTTGGGATAAGTTGAAACGCGTAGGCTCCGTGGTTTCCCCTCAGCACTCTGGACGTGCTCTTCTCTGCTTACGTTCGTGCTGCTCATGGGAAGTGTGATGTGGATCCGTGTGTCATTCAGCTGTAGGTGATCTTCCCGATGGCTTTCTGTACAGGGACTTGGGGGTGACCAGATCCCGAAACCTCTACAGAAGCTGCTGTAGCTCACCTGTGGCTTTTGGCTTCTGCCTTCTTTTCTGGTGGCCAGTATGGTTTTGTATGTGAAATTTCCTTTCATGGACTGATGTCAGAAAAGTGAAAGTATTGCACTGCAGAAAAAGAGTTCTCTGATTTTAAACTAGGTTTTAAACCAAGGTCCATCTGAGTCTAGAATGTACTTTCTCACTATTTTCAGCGATCAGGTGAGCTCCGCGAGAGGCACATGCCCCTGAACCTCCATATTCACCTCTTAGGAAAGGCTGCTGGCACTCAACGGGGGGGCCACATGACCCTGCTGCCCCTCAGCCCGGGGCTTGCCAGTGCACCTGACCCCTGATTAGCTGGCAATAGGAGAGGGAAAAAAGAAAAGCCGACACCTTCAATGGTGCACAGAGCTGAAAGGCAGAGTTTGTGAGCGGATTTTCAAAAAGACTGCAGAGGCAGAGGGCAGGACTTCTCCCCGGGAGCTGTGGTTAGAAAACAGCACTTAATAGACCAAAAAATAAACAGAAATTGGGCTGAGCCCCTGGCTGGTAGGAAGCAGGTGCTGCACGAAATCTATAATTTAATAAGATTACCGCTTTTTCTAAGATGGTGATTGTAACTGATTATAATTTGTTGTTGCTTATTTTATTTATTTTAATATGAATATCTCTGAATACAGTGATTATGTATTAGATTTTTCCTAGGAACAAAATGATTTGTAAGAAGTAGATGGAATTTTTATGACAGCCAGAGTAAAAAACTCTGTGCAATTAGACAAAGGTAGGCATGTTATTCCTGGGTACTGATTATAAATGAGCGAGGCGGTAGCAAGATACCCATAGCCCACGGATGCTGGTGGGGATGTGTGGAGAGGGAGCCCTGCTCCTCGAGGAACTGAAAATGGACTGCTTCACCATCCTGCCACACAACTCTTGGGCCTGTGTCCAAAGGAGAGCAGAGCACCATCCAGAAAGGGAAAGAGCCTCCTGTACCCAAGTTCACTGCAGTCCTGTTACAGCCAAACAAGGGATCAGCTGTGGTATCCAACAACTGATCAATGAACAGGTAAAGACAATATGGTACGTGTGTGTGTGTGTGTGATGGAATATTATACAGCCATAAAGAAAGCTGGAGTTATGTCATTTGAAACTGGACATCATGTTGAATGAGTGAGCTTACATGGGTGACAGGGAGACTGTCCAGCACAAGGGCATCCCTGAGGGGTGGAGGACGAAGGGCACTGCATACCTTCCCACCACGACAGCATAGCAATACGCACCCAAGCGCCGTCTATACAGGTGGAGGAGGAAAGGGGCAGAAGTTGCATGTGTGTGGAAATAGCACCAGGACCTAACAGCTAAAGATCTACCACAACCCTAACTGCTCTGGGTCCTAGACATGTGGCTGGAACTCCAAGCAAGGCATCCCCAGAGTGACTGATGATTAGCATGTGCCACTGGACCGCAGAGCCGTGACGGCAGGACAGAGACCCTGACTGGAGCAGGTGGGCCGGAGTCGCCGTAGCAGGTAAAGCATCCCCAACTCAAGAGAAATCGCCAGAATCCACACCGTGGCTGGTGCGGGACATCACCCATTTCCTTTAGGTAGGCAGACACCCGTGTAGACAGTGGGCTGTTTAGGGGTGTCCCTGCCCCTCAGTGTTCAGAGAAGGCCACAGAGAAAGACCATGCTGCAGCTGTCAGCGAGCAAATGTCAAGGACCACAGACTCCATTTTCTTAGCAGATGAGGCTGCCAGTAGCCCGGCACTGCCACCGTTTCTTGCAAATGCTGAAGACCGGAGGGCAGTCCAGGCAGTCAGGGGCTTAGGGGGGCATTTGCGACCTCTGTTCTCACACTGGAGGAGGGAAAGCAGCCCAACACATCCTTCCAGAGACGCACAGATGCACAGGCTCTCATCAGAGCCAGTACATTCTGAGGTTGAGCTCCTCCTCCTACAGTGGGCAGCTCCCGCTTTAGCGTATAGACCTTACACTTCCGAGCTGGCAGGAATCTGAGCAAGCCCTTACCAGGGGCTTCAGCTAACAGAAGGGAAACTCAAGGTTCAGTGTATCCCAAGATCTGGAGGAGGCTGCAGCAGGGCAGGGGCTGGATTCCAGCCCTGACCTTTTTGTGGGTGGCGTGATGGCATACCACCAGCTGCCCTGAGAGTCGGGTCCAGGGAGAAAATGCCCAGGAGGTCATTTCTGGCACACGGCACCGGCCCCAGCTGAGCGGCCCCTGCAGTGCTGAACACCGTAAGAGACATGCACAGTGTAATTAGTTGCTTGAGCAAGTGACAAGAAACTGAACTTACCCAACAGGCTTTTCCCCTTGCTCAGCTTCTGAATTCTGTTCATTTCATTCTGGCAAGGGAGACCTAAAAAATAATTTACAGAAGTCAGCTTCCAGATGGTATGGGATATCATCTCTAATGATTGACTTTGCTCCTGACGTGTGTCATAGACAATGACACACCTGGGAATGGAATGGCTCCATATGCACGAACCACACAACAAAACAAATCCAGGCCATTAGTGTTGCTAATTAAACCTCATACCACACTACTTAAAACAGTATCTCAAGGCTGCTTGCAATGCGCTGGAATTTTCCTTCCTAGCTCCATTTCAAGCAAATATTGTATGTCTGATAATAATTTGCTAACAGATTTTGTGGCAGTACAGGGCTTTGAACTCAAGGCCTTGAACTCAGGCCTTGAACAAGGCTTTGAACTCAGGCACTCTACCTTATGGTCTTGCATTTTTCCCCAGGCTAACCTCAGACCACCAACCTCCTAACTAGGCCTCCCTATAAGCTGGAATTATCCATGTACGCCGCCACACCTGCTTATTTATTGAGGGGTATGTGTGGTGGTGGCGAGGGGGGGGGAGGGGGGAGGGTCCTCTAACTTTTTTCTTAGTCTGGTCTTGACCACCATCCTCTCAATTTCCTTGGGATTACAGGTCTGAGCCTTCACACCCAGTTAGCAGACTTTCCGCTGCTAGCTGGAAGGAGGGATCTGCAAGGGCTTATTAGTGGTAAGTGTTCTAAACTACCTAAGGCTTTGCCACAAATCCTCCATCAAGTCCAGACCCCGCTGTGGGGTGAAAAGAGGATTAGAACCCTACAGGGACAGCTGTGAAGACCTCAGAGCACAGCGGCCTGGAGAGAGATCTGTTGGCGTCAGAAGTGAGACTTCCAGTCCAGGTTGAGACACAGCCTGTGTGTGCTGCCTGAAGCCGTCCACTCGTAAGTAAAGGACAGATACAGGGGTCCTAGAGGCTCGTGCGGTGTGTGTTGCCTTTGTCTCCCCAAAGAACAGACATCTGTTCTAAGCAAAGCAACCTCACCAGCTTTGGGGGGTTGTGACCACATGGTCTCCCCAGTCTCTGGGAAGCTCTGGGCTTTGGCTTGGACCTCTTTCCAGAGGTCCCAAGTGTGTGGGCATCCCCCACTGTTACTGAGGACTTCACAGGGCCACTGGTCTTCCTGAGCATTCTGGGACAGAAGGTAGGGCTGTGAGACCCATTTTGTTAGCTTTAGATAAACAAGATCCAACATGAAAACCACCAGAGAAAGAGGTTAGAACAGGCAGCATGCTGCAGGCACAGCTACACTTAGTGTGACACGGAAGGCGGTGCTGACACTGCCCGTTTTGCAAGTGGAAATGCTTGTCTTTAGAACTGCAGAAAGAGAAGAAAGTATAGGCATAAACAGACCAGTCCTGAGGAGAAAGAAAATCAGAATCATTCACGTAATCATCATAAAAATATCTGTGGCCGTCCATTAGGGAAAATTCCAAGCTTCGAAAATACTGATGTATAATAGAAAAGCAAAATGCAAGTGATTCCAAGTCAGGAAGTGAAACCTCTTCTTTCTGAAGAAAAGGAGAGAATGATAAATTATTTTGCTCAACTACTTCAGGATTCTGGCCCACAGCAAGTGCTAAAAGGTCACAGATGTCCCCTGAGGCCTGGTGACCAGCAGTAAGAACCCACTCTGTGCTCACACACACCAAAACTACAGCTGTGTGTATGAAATCAAGGCTCCAGTTACCATAGCTTACTGGTGGTGCATGCCTGCAAATGCTTTATACTAATATACAAATCAGGGCTACTCTACTTGGCATCAATTTCTAAGTAGTTTCTGATGTAATTCAAAATCAGAAAGCAATGAGGTTTGAAAATTGAAAAGGCAAAGAGGTAAATTCTCTATTTGAAGATATGATTGCACCTGGAAAATCCATGCAGAATAACCTAAACATAAACAAAACGAGAATGTCATGAAGGACCGGAACAAAAGTAGACTTCATTCACCAAGAACAGAAATATTGGAAGAAAACTCAGTGTGATAAGACACATTCTGTTCTAACAAAGTGCAACATTCCGGAGCTAACAGGAACTCTTTTTAATTAGATAAATTGATTCTAAAGTTCATAGAGGGAGGAAAAGATGAATACCCAGGAAAATTTTGGAAAAAGAGATTAAAAAGGGAATAGTCCTACCAGATATCAAGAGCACGGCAAAGCAACTGTGATTTGGATAGTGTAGAATTAATTTGAATAGATTGATAAAGAGGACAAATATCTGTTGGAAATATATAAACTGAAAACCAAAAGGTATTGAAGAAAACCTACGAGAGCCCTATTAACTGAGAAAAAACCAAGGTATTCTATCTTGATGTCAAAATTTTCTATCAAAAAAATGCATGCAGTCACAGAAAAAAAAAAATATTTGAATTTCTTACTAAATATAACAGCAACACCCCACAAGAGCCTAGCAGGAAAAATAAATCAGGAAGGACGGTCATGCCACGGAGAGGACAGGAGCCGTGGCGGGAGGGAACGTGTCCGCAGATGTTAATGGTATTCTGAGGTGGCGGGAGATCGGGTGCTGCTGCACTTGAGAATCTGATGTAAATAAACGCACCGCATGCTCACTTCCAGGAGGCATCGCCCACCAGGGCTGCCACAGCTGGTCCTGGGCCTGAGCACAGGAAGCTCAATGGGTACAGGGGCTGCGGGTTCCCGTGCACCCTCCTGTCTCCTCCCAGAGGCACCGCAGGTTCACCCTCCTGTCTGGCTCAGTTACAGGCGATCGCTGGGAGTCCTTTCTAATACTCATCTCTCTCCCTCAGTAGCTGCTGTCTACAGACGCCAGTAAGCGCACACTCACCTGAGATGTGCAGGGGATTCATGTGCCTGTGGGAAGAAATCGCACTAGTATTTGCATAGAGCGCTTCACACCGAGCATCGGACTGAGTCAGCCTGGGAATGAAGTCACGGCGAAGGTGCTAGGAACCACTTTACGGGAGCAGTGAGCTGCGCGCGCCGCCTCACCTGCCGGCTTCTGGAAGCAGTAGCACCACTCGTTGTTGGAGAGCTTGCCGTCCTTGAAAGAGTCGCAGGAGTTGAAGAGCGGCTTGATGCAGGGCTCCTGCTTGTCCAGGTAGATGGCGTTGATCTCTGCGGCGTCCAGCAGCAGGTCGTAGTTCATGTCCAGCTTGTTGAACATCCAGCCCAGGGAGTCCTTGCAGATGGGCAGGATGCTGGTGTCGAACCCTGGAAGCAAAGGCCAGGCTCAGGCTTGCCTGTGCGCCCCTCCTTCCTTCCCACAGCCTCAGTGACTGCAGGTTCTGAGTGACACACAGTACAACGTGCCATAGCACAGAAGCCAGCATCTGGGGAATGGGTGTTCTCAAGGGAGGAACTCTCCAATGCTAATGTAGCTCTGATGCACATAGGGTTTTTGTGGTCTAGGCCTGCTTAGAAGAGGGTGTGTGTGAAACTATATTGAAAACTGTGCTTTTAGGGGAAAAAAATCAACTGAAAACATTATCAAAGGGATAGCAAGACAGTCAGTAATCTAGAAGCACTGACTACCGCAGAGGGCTGCTGAACTCCACAGAGGGATGGTGTGGCCAGCCGGCCGGCCAGAGGCTGCCTCACCCCGTCTCTTCTGACAGGGGATCCAGGTCAAGCCAGACAGTGACCGCTCGCTTCCCTTGGGAAGGAGAATTCACTCATTTCCACGGCAGAAATTGGATGGCTTCGACAGTAACTCTTAGCTTTCCACTTGGAGCCGCGAGGCACAGGCAGGGCATGCCTCACGTCACGAGCGCATCTTCCTCTTGGGATCCCTACGTCTGCTTCCCTTCTGGAATCTCCTTTTTTCATGGTTGGAGACACAGAATCTTGCTATCTAGCCTAGGCTGTCTTTAGTCTCCATGATTCCCCGGCCTGGGCACTGCGTGTGCCCCACGCCCTGCTTAAAAGTTAGTGTTTGAGGACTGGGAGCATGCTTGCCATCCCAGGGACTTGGGAATTGGAAGGATCGTGGTTCAAGGCCACTCTGAGGAGTTGGCTGGGCTCCGTCTCAGCCTCCAACGGAGGCAGGTGTGCTGGTGCCACTGTCACTGTTGTCCTAGATGCTCATGAGGAGGATCGCTGTTTGTGAGGCTAGCCCTGTGCAAAGCACGAGACCCTGACTAACAAATAGTGTCAAAGGAGCTGAGTGTGTGGCTCATGTGGTAGAGCACTTGCTAGCACGCCACAAGCCTCGAACTCAAATTCTAGCACTGCAAAATCAAAAAAGAGTTTCATATTGCACACTCCTGGACATCCTATACTTCCTGCTACTCCTGGGAGTAGTCCTGTGAAATGAACTTGGGCTTCTCCGCTTTGCAGACAACACACACACGGCTAGGAGCTTTCCTTCTGTTTTCAGGGTTATGCAACTATTAACTGGGGTTCAAAGCCAGGCAGCCCTGTCCCAGGCCCCATCAGCAGTCCCCTGCTGCCTTCCTGGACAGGCCTGAGGACATCTCTGGGGACAGCAGAGAAAGGGGGCAAGGCAGAAATGGCAGCAGAAGTCCATGGGACGACAGGCCCTCCTGCGGTGCCTCCCTTGCCCGGGTCCCTAGGTCTCCACAGACACTGCCTGCAGCCCCTGCGCACTCCAGGCCATGGGAGAGGCAGCGGGGCGCCCTTCCTGGAGCACGGGAGACCTGCTCAGCAGGCGTACGTGCCGACCAGACCTAACGAAGCTGAGGACAAAGTGACTTGAGCTCTTCGTGTCTTCACATGCCAGGGATGTTGCTGGAAGGAGTTTTCTGGCATCTCTGCTGAGGGCTTAGTGCTCACACCTGCAGTCCTAGCTACTCCAAAGGCTAAGGATCTATATGTCACTTGTATAAAATAGTGACATTTTTATACACGGGAGAGAATACTTAACCATTTACAGAGGACCAAAATGCCAAGCCAGGTAGGCGGTAGTCAAAAAATCCAGACAAGACCCGCTGTGCCGGGCGTCGGTGGCTGCCCGGACAGCGGACCCCTCAATGGTGGGGGGGGGGGGGCGTGGGGCGGGTCCGACAGCTTCCCCGCAGGGACTCTGGACCCTCGTCTCCCCCCACGCCCTTCCTCCGGTGACTTCAGGGCATCAAGACCAGAGCCCCTTGGGGGTTCAACTTCCGGCCAGATCAGTCTTTTCCAGGCTCCTTGCTGTCTTCCCAGTCTCTGGGGACTGTGGTGGCCTGGAGTGGCTCCTCATCTCTCTCTGCTAAAAGGTTGCTCAGAGACCCCACGGCCAGGACGCCTGTCCACACCCACTGTGGCTCCAGGTCTCTTGAGCCCAAATGGGGAAAACCAGACCTTTTCCCTTTCCTGCAGACACAACCAGAGCACCTCCAGAACCTGTACGCTCTGGGCAGCAAATGCTATCCTGTCCTTCTGGCTCTGTGTGTGTGTGTGTGTGTGCACACACATGCTCTCCGCTCAAGGCTGGTGTTCTACCACTTGAGCCACACCTCCACTTCTGGCTCTCTGCTTGTTAAATGGAAATAACAGTCTCATGGACTTGTCTGCCTGGGCTGGCTTTGAATCACAATTCTCAGATCTCAGACCTGAGCCACCCACATCCAGCTTGACAGGTAAAACACTTCAACAATTATCACCTAGAATCCCCTGCACTGGGCATTCTAGAAGGCCGCCATGCACAGCGAAAGACAGCCAAAGATTCAAAGATACAGGTTTTTGGTTTTCTGAGATGGGGTCTGACTTTGCTGCTCACAAACTCCTGGGCTCAAGTGATCGTCCTGCCTTCCTGGGCCGCAAGAGGCGTGCTGTGATTCTCACCTGCATTCTGTCAGCAGCACTGCCCTCAGAAACTCCACCTACTGAGACAGGATCCTGCTGTGTAACCTAGGCTGGCCTGGAACTCATCATTCTCTTGCCTCAGCCTCTCAAGTGCTGGGATTACAGGCATGTGTTACTGTTCACATCTTTAGTGTAATGTTTCCTTTAAAACAACAAAAAAAACCCTAATAATGCTATTGCTAATGAACCATGTTTGGTGTGTAGGGTGGAGTGGGTTGGAAAAGTGGAGTATCTTACTGCCCGGGGCTGCGTTGGAGCTGGTGGGTCTGATGACCCTGTTGGCGTCCTGGTGAAGAGCTCCAAACCAGTCCTTCAGCCGGGAAGCAAGGTTCCTCAACTCCTTGTCGGTGCAAGCTGGAGAGAAACACACACACAGACAGACAAACGTTGAGTCCCTGGGCCTTCTGCCCCCTGTGTGGGAGGCAAAGTAAAACCTCCCAGCCAAGCAAGACACAGAGAAAGCCTGGACTCTCAGGACAGGCGGCACGGTTCAGACTTGCATCTGACAGCCTCCAAGCTAACGCCTCCCCCTGGGCAACCACACCGCTGTGCGCCCACCCAAGCTCACCATCGCAATCCTGACAGGGACAGCAGGTTTGGTGGGGACAGACACCCCTACTGTGTGATTGGATGGACGGCAGGCAGGCGCGGAGGTGGTGGAGGCTATCTGAAGGCCTCCTAGAAGGCTGAGGGGAGAAATCCCGAAAGAGAGAAAAGGGTGTCTGACACACACACAGCTCACTTCCTTTTGTCCTGGAGGCCCAGGCCTGCCTGATGCGCAGCATGAGAGTCACGAACCATGTGTTCTGTGGCCTAGGCCGGCTAGAGAGAAAGGAGAACGCCAGGGGGCCCCATCCCAGTGATGAGCTGAGACACGGAGCTGTGGCTTTTCCCCAGACTCCAATTCTCCACAGGCATGCCACTAAGGAACCCGCAAAACACCGACTGGATGCAGAGCCAAGTTCTGCACGTCTCCCGGTGCTGAGGGCTCGAAGTCACTGCAAGCCACCAAGGAAAGGATGGGGCAGGGGCAAAGCAGAGTTTCACCTATATTCCAAGCTGGCCTCCAATCAGCGTGGGCCCTGACTGCACAAGCACAGTCCTCCAGCCAATCAGCATAGGCCCTGACTGCACAGGTGTAGCCAGCCAATCAGCACAGGCCTTGACTGCATGAGCACAGTCCGTCAGCCAATCAGCACAGGCCTTGACGTCTGCGTGGAAAGGCGAGGCCTCACCAGAAGATGCTAGTCTTACAATCCATGTCTGCTTTCTGGTCCAGCCCATCCTTCCCTAGGCTGGGACTAAATTTCCCAGACCCCAGGAAGGAAAAGCCTCTCTCCACCTACCAAGCTAGGGGAGCCGACCAGTGGGCTGCCATCATTCCTGACTACTGCCTTCACCCCATTAGGACTCGACTTCAAGTTCTGCGAAGCACTTTGCAAATGTATGTTCAGTATTTGAACTGAAGTCCTGATGCCCGGCCTTGTATGTATTTATTTAACTAGTCCTGGGGCTTGAACTCAGGGCCTGAGCACTGTCCCTGAGCTTCTTTTACTGAAGGCTAGCACTCTACCACTAAGCCTCCTTCCCGGTCCTTGGCCTTGCAAGACACCAGGCAGGGAGTGGCACTGGGAATGTCTCATCAGGCAGGGGTGTGCAGGGTCAGGGGGCACACTGCCTACTGGCTGGTCAGACCCTCAGGCCAATGGCATTGGTGATCTTTAGTCAGGACAGTCTGCCGGGCTTCTTGGTAATTACCCAGGGTATGCCAGCAAGGATTTTTGTTTAAAATTGAAGATTTATAGGAAACGTGACAGCAAGCAACCCAGCCTCCCCCAAACCAGTAAGATAAACGCATGAATATAAAACTGCCTTTGCCCACAGCGGACACAGAGGAAATGAATGCTTGTACTGTCCCATTACAGTGAGTTAAAATGAACACAAGCCTACATCCAGTTCCTCACTCACGTGTCCAGCCCAGGGCCGGGAGCCAGGCATGCGGTGGCTTGTGGGGTGTGCACGCTGAGTCCCCGCAGCACGGCAGGCTGGGAACCCTGGGTTAGGCATGTCCAGCTTCCTCTCCTTCCCGACACCCTTGTGTGGTGTCGAGGACACAGCAGTGCTTGGCGAACCCTAAACCAGCCTACAGCCCCACTCATGAGCCAGGGGCCCACAGGCGGGGGAGCGTCCGCAACTCCCCCCCCCCCCCCACCTGCTTCACCTCTCAGAGGGAGCCGCCACCCCTCCCGACAGGGCTCAGCTCTACGGGAAGGAAGACTGGTTTGGAGGAGGATGGGATGTGGACTCTGAGGCTCATCTCCCATTAGAAGGTGGGAAATGAGCATCATCCGTTTGCTTTCTCTATTTCTATGCACGCCAGCTACCCAGAGCATCCTCTGGGCTGAGAACACCGCCAGGTCAACTTGCCAGGAGCCCGCTTGCCAGCCGGGAGAGAAGTTTGCAGCCGCGTTGGGCTCCACCCTGACAAGGATGCGAGGGATCCGAGTCTCTGGGTCCCGCAGGCCCAGGACGCAGGCTGGGAGGCCGGCGGTGCAGGAAGATCAGGACATGAGCGCAGCCTGTGGACCCTCGGCCGCTGGCGGAGGCCAGGTGGGCAGTGAGCAGATGCCAGGCACGTCCAGCCTGGAGAAGCCGCCCCTCCCCCTTCCCACAAGCCGCCCCCCCCCCCCACACACACAAGGCCAGGCCCAGTGCAGAGGCGGTAGAATAGGCACCGACTGGTGCCAGAGAAGAGGACCGGAAGCTGGGCAGCGCAGTCCTCTTTACACAGCACCCCAAGGCCACCCCTGGGTCCACACAGGTCTGAGCATAATTTGGGGGTGCTGACATTCCCCCCAGAGGATTCAGCTTGAAAGGGAATGAGAAGAACAGAATGAGAACTGTGAAGTGCTGGGGAAATGATATACACGGGTCCCGGGGGACGCTGGGGCACGTGGCGTGTGGGGCAGGCCCTGCGGGTGCACTCCCCAACACGTGACCCCAGTCGGCCGATGGCCCAAGGAACAAAACGCCACCTGTCACCAGGGCTGCTCCCCCCCCCCCCCCCCCCCCCCCCCCCCCCGCCCAGCCGCACAGATGCGGAGCTCAGGGCGCTGCGGAAGCCAATATGAGAACCATCAGAATTTAATTTAAACGCTAGTGCCTCGGAAGGTAATTAAAGAGTTGGGCCAGACTCAAGTTCTGCTGGGGAGTGGGGAGACCTGGAGCCGGCCCTTCCCCACGAATCCACCTCGGCCTCCTCTGCGCTCCTGTGAGTCATTACTTAATCAGAGCGGCTCTGGATCAGTGCACGCAGTGTTTGCAATTAGCAGCTCCTGTCAAAGGTCCAGCTGAGCTGCTGTTAGGATGGAGTTGCCATGCCGGGGTAAGACTTTTCAAAGCCAGGATCTGCAAAGGCCAGGGCACCTTCCTGCCCTGCCCTGCCTGGCACACGCCGGCCCGCTCACCTGTCTCCCTCCTCCACGGGGACTGGATCAGTCCGCCATTAAACACGGGGCAGGCAGCAGGAGCTGCGGTGTGGGAACCACATGCACGTGCAGGAAGGCGGGCGGGGGCTGCGGATCACAGACTGCGAGAGCAGAGTGGACCCAGGGAGAGGAGTTCCTCATCTCTCCCAGGTCCTCCACGCTCGCGTTGGCGAATGGCACTGGGGCCTCAGAACTGGCGTTCACCCGCTTTCCTGCACAGAGGGCCCAGCCAGCGAGGCCTCGCAGGGGCCAATGCACCACAGCACGCAAGGCCCGAGCCGCTGCTGCTCTTCAGGCCAGTCAGGGCGTTCCTCTGAGCCCTGCCTGCCATCGGCGGATGGGCAAAGACCGGGCCGGGACCAGCTACAGAGGAAGGTCACGGCTTGGAAATCAGCTCGCTGTCCTGCCCGCTGTCCACATGGACCTGTGCCAGAAGAGGCTGCTAGCAGTAGGCACTCACAGGCCACATTCCAGCACAGTGTGGGCACACGCATGAGCCCACTTCTAACCGGAATCACTGCAGAGGGATGAGCTAGCACATGTCCACTCAAACCAGACCCCACACAACTTCACTTTCATAGTTTTCGGTGCCCCTCCAGCAAGTCTATCGAAAAGTAAGGTATTGCTGTTTTTGTTTCGGTGCAAATACTGGCACTCCAACTCACAGCCTCACACTCTCCCTTGGCTTTTTCTATTCAAGGCTGGAGCTCTACCACTTGAGTCACACTTCCACTTCTGAATTTTTGATGGGTAGAGAGAAAAGTCTCAGACTTTTCTGCCTGGGCTGGCTTTGAACCATTCTCCTCAGATCTCAGCCTCCTGAGAAGGTAGGATTATGACTGTGAGCCACTGGTACTCTGCCTACTATATATATATATATATATATATATATATATATATATATACACACACACACACACACACACACACACACCACACACACACAAATTATACATGTATGTGTGTATACATAATTTTCATATATACGTACACTCTTCTTCTTAGAGAAAGCTTTATTTTACGTAAGCAGACAGGAAGAAAGGAATTAGAGTCAGAAGCTTGCTAATAAAGCCCTTCAGAAGCAGTCTTTGGAAGAGCTTAAAATACTGACATTCGACTCAGAAGAAGACGAGTTAAACTAATTAATGGTACAACCTGCGAACTAAGATCGGATAAATTTCCCTTTTAAAGCCATTATGACGATTGTTGGTAACCTGGATTTGAAGAGACTTTAAAGTTCCCTCGATTCTAATGATAACGCTTCATCTGGGAAAAGAAATGCATGGGAACACACACAGCAGTGGTAGCTGTATTTGAGGAGTAATACTTATTATTCCCCTCAATAGTCTAGGGCAGGAAGTTTAGCCAGATGAAATAAGCTTTTAAAGCTTCTGATAAAATCCACAGCCTTTTCCACACTCCAGGGCAAATACAGATATGTATATATATATATATTGGATATGCAAAACACTGGTTGGCAGTGCCAGCTCCGGCTTTGATTGTATTTTCTTGCCAGTGGGTCAGCGTCTGCCTGCATGGGGCCCTGGCACAGATGAACAGACTACGGGAAACAGAAGTGTACCCAGCAGGTTCGCAGGGGCTTTATGCCCACCAGATTTCATAGACCTGCAACTAGTACAGACTAAGCAGAAGAAAACAACGTCGCTGTTCGCACTACAGTTTATGATGGCAGCTGTCTGAGGCTAGGTGTGAATAGGGCCAACAGAGGACTTAGAGAGCCAGGGCAGGCGGAGCCCTGGGGAAGGCCGGCATCATGGCCAGTCCCCACCTGGGCAGCTGCCCCGCACAAAGGCAGGTGGAGCTCGGAAAGTTGCTCTGCCTTTGCCTGTTGTTAGCCTCTGAGCT